TTATTATTTAATTTGTATTTTGTCCACCACCACTTTTCTGCAAACAAGAAGCCTTCCATATTCATTTTGTGCTGTTATGAGTTATCTACTCGTTTGTCATCAATGTGGTTACTCTTGAATATGCCATATGGTCTTCAGCAGAACTAACTTCTGAATAAGTGTGTTTTTAAGATTACTCTTTTATTGCAAGCAGTACTTTGTTGGGAACCTGTCATGAAGACTCAATGCAAGATACAAGGGAGAGCTTGGAGGGTTATAAAAACCAGCTATAAAGAGGAAGGTGGTGGTGCTTGTAGCCCACCAAGACTTGGGAAAACAGAACTAGAGAAAACAGAAACTATGTTTAAGACATTGGGATTAAAACTCAGGTTTGATTTTTGCTTAGAAAGTTGTTGTGTAGTAATGGGAGTGGCTTTTAAGTGCTCTTACTGCATAAGTCATGTATTATCAGAGGTCCACAGGACATGAGGCTATTGTTGTGAACATGTGTGCAGGACAAAAGGATATGATCCTTTCCTTTTTCCTTCTGACTCAGAAAGATTGATACAGTCCTAGGGGTCTATGTTTAGAGTTGGCTAAATATTGTGAGATGACGGCATTTTGTCTCTGGCACACCTTCTCTTTCTGATCTGTAGATTTAAAGTGAGCATAGGTTTGCAGTGCACTTTTGGTTAGCAGTTGACTTTTGTTGTTTGTGAAATGGAATGGTTTAAAATATGTACTGTATATGTATGCACACACAAAAAGTTCTTCTTGGGTAACTGCTTTCCACAGATGGAATACAAGCTGCTCATTTTTGTGTTTGGGCTGAAGGCTTCTTAGCCTCTGATATTTGTTACATGGTATAAAATGGCATGTAGTATGTTTCTAAGTACTGTAATTCCAGCATCTCTAATAGAACTGATAAGTAATTTCTCTTCATTATGTTTAATACTATCTGTGTTTAATGCTATTTTTTCATTGGCAACTTGTGCATTCATGGTTTTGTTTGTCATTATGGTTTGTATTTTTGTGTTTTTATATTCCAAACCGCCCTGTGCTCCTCAGATGAAATGGTATAGAAATTTAATAAACCACCACCGTGCAAATCCTATAATAAATGCAAATACCAATGAGTATTCATGTAATCCATAGAATAGACTGTTGGACTACTTCCTGGTAGATCTAGTTTCAGTTCCTTCTTCTGCAGTAATTTTACTGCTTAGCTCAAACAAGTCACTTTCAACGTGTGAAAGAAGAGTGATAGTACCAAGCCTCCTCTGCAGAAATGAGCTTTGTATACATGCATTCAATGAGTCTTGTGAATTAGGATTTTTAGTGCCGGCAATAGTACTTTTGGCAGACGTATCCAGTAACTTAATACACAGGTATTAAAAACTGAGTGTCACCCGCCCCAGAGAATCAAGCTATACACATCTAAGACTTCAATGGAGAATAGCTGGGCAGTAGTTAATATCCACAAGGGTAGCTCGGTAACTATATGCATTTATTTGGTGTGAAGGAATTAGTTTGTGGTTTGGGTTATTTAGCTAACATGCACACCATATGCACAAGAAGGAGCTAGGCATAGGAGGAAATTAGGAGGGGGAGGTCGAGTTCAGCACAACTCTGGGAGGCAAACTAGCCTTCTCTTTCTCTGGGCTCACTTTGCAGAGTAGGCTTCAGACAATCAAAGCTGGGCAGGGAGTACCAGAGGCTGGTTTCTAAAACAGACGGATACAGGAAACAGGAAACAAATCTCAAAGCACAGCCTCACTTAAAGGTAGCAGATGTGGAGGCTGCCATGTGTAGGGAAAGTACCTCTGGAAGACAGGACAGGAACAAGATATACCTTTCCTGGACCTGTTAGCCAATCCTGAAGAATTGGAACTGGGGCATGTTGAAACTAGGTCAGGAAGGGAAAATAGAAATGCAGCAGGCAAGAGGAGGCCCAGAAATGTTTATTATTATTATTTATTTATTTCACAAGATTTATACTCTACTTGAGATTGTATATTAAAAATAATCAAAGTGGTTTACAAAAAGATAAAACAATAAATAGCTGTATAGATTGATACAATATATATTTGATTTTTAGTGCCACACATATAATACTAAAATATTCAGTTATATCAGTTTAAAATCCTACGGAATAAATGAATAAGTGTGTCCCTCATAGATATTACACTTCTTGAGTTCCAAAGGAATCCAAACATAATTCAGGAATGCCACATTGACCATATTTACAGACAGAAATATCTGGATTTTCTGCTTGATGAACTACTCCTTATAGTGAAACTTTTGTGAACTGTAAGCCTTTCTGGCTTGCAGAAATCAGCATTGTGTGAACATAGCATACTGTATATGCCTAAGTGGAAAGAGTTTAATGCAGATTCTTTGGACAGGTATAAGCAAACTCAGCCCTCCAGAGGTTTGGGGATTACAACTTCCATCATCCCTAGCTAATAGGACCAGTGGTTAGGGATGATGGGAGTTGTAGTCCCAAAACATTTGGAGGGCCGAGTTTGCCTATGCCTGCTTTGGACTAATGCTTTACTTTGGTCTATTCTTTAAGGTAAACTACATGAAGTGCCCAGCTCCAGTTAAGAGTGCATATCAATGACATCAAAACAACAATCACCACAGGAAAGCAAGATGCTTCTCTTCTCGTTTTCAAGTGTAGTTCTCTTTTTGTTTTTTAGTGTAGCTCTCTTTTGCCCATAATAGCTATACGCTCCTGTGTATAGCAGAACACTCCTGATATAAGCGTTCAACTTTCTTTCTGATTGTCCTGTGTTTTGGCAAGTACTCTACAGCCAGCCTGAAAGTTGCCAGAAGCAGAAAGGTTTTCCATGCTGAGCATGCTTCAGCAAGTCTGGGCTAGATACTGTCTGGCAAAGATGCTTGTATTATGATGACCCCCTTCCTGTTATTTGGGATCCAGCCTGTTTACCTGACTCATCTGCAGGGTGGAGTGGCCGCGTGCTGTCTCAAGGGGCTTCTAAGCACTCAGTGTAGTGTGTATGCTGATAGAGATTCCCTGGAGCTTGTCATGTAGTAAATTACTGAGTTTTGAATTACAGTTATGTTTTCTGGGTGCAGTGTTGGAACTACCACAAAGAGGGGCCCTAGGCTTGATAATATTGATAGAATGGTGACTAATATGTTTCTCCCACAGTACATGCTTCTGACATGCTTCTGACCACTGCTTGGTCATGCAAAGCTTTGTGTTGTACATTTGTACAGTGGCAGTTTTGCTGCCTCAGTCTTGTGCAGAGCTACATAGCCACACCATTACAGGATGATGGCTGATAGGATGAGGATGGCGCTGGTGCAAGGTAACATAGAGGCTCGCCATACATATATCCTCCAAAGAAGCATAGGACTGCACTTTAAGTGTCAGAGGGAAGAAATGCTTAAGTGGCGGGAAACAATAAATGGACAGGGTTGGAGAAATTGTGTTATGTTTGGTACTGAATTAGAGAACAACACATGTCACTCCACACCATGCACTTGCTTCCTCACTTGTGTGCATAGTATCATTTATGAATGGCATGTCCATGTACAATTTTTGGCTTTTGTCTGCATTATACATGTGAGTGGCTGCTTTTAAAAGACTGCCCAGAGTATAAAACAGTTAAGAGTGTTAGCAGCAATGGAAGGACCAGATCAGCAAGGAAAGAACAGTGGGTATATTTTGCTCATGTAAAAGAACTCACAGTGCTATTCCTTGTAATTCTGTGAAGTTCACTGTATATCTGAAACATCAGCTTTAGAAAGTGCAAACTTCCTGATTAGATTAAGTGTTTGTTTAGTGTCAACGCCTACTGATGACCATTTAATTGAAATGCAAATGGTAGAACTATGTGTAAACATCCAGATATTTTGAGTCTCGGTGGGAGTTGAGACAGGAAGTAGAGACTGACCATACCACAGTAGTTTAGCATAATGTGTCTGAATTCTGTCTAATTTCAAACCATAACCTAAAAAATCCCTCTCCCATGTAGCCTGGGAGATATTTTATTTATAAAGAACTGTTTGCTTCCATAAACAACTGTTTTTAAAAATTGCATAATAGATCATCACACTCCCCCTTCCTAAGGCATTTGTGTGGCTATAATTCACCAGAAAGGGATTTCAGTTTATGCATCTGACAGAGTGGGTGTGAATCCATGAAAGTTTATGCCATGATAATGTTGTTAGTCTTAAAAGTGCCACAGGACTGTTGTTTTTTTTCCTGTAAGAGACTGACATGACTGCCCCTCCAGAAAAAGGGAGAGAAAAAGATGTGAATAAAATGTTGCTATCGTTAGGCTGCTATCCTAAGCATAATTGCTTGGAAGCCAAATAAACATGGTTAGGAATTGGGGTGTTTGGCTTGTTTGCTTCACTTGTGTAATTTCTGAAGCCCTCTGTATTATAAAGTAGCTGTGTTTAACAATAGTTTCTTTTCTTCCTCCCTCTGAACATTTTCATTGGGGCTTTGTTTGCCACCCTGGTCTGCACAAACAAGTAATTGTGGGGTTCTTCAACCACCACCACCTTTGTTGGTTCTGTTGGCTCATTCACAAAATCCACTATGAGTTTTCTTGAACATGTTGTTATTGTTGTTGGCATCTATCTGTCTTGGGAGACAATGGAAGAGTTCACCTTCAGGGGTAAAGTCAAACGGTTGGACAGTTACAAAGCCTGCTGTGGCTGTAAGGACCGAAGCCACTGTGGGACCTCGGGTTACAAATGCTTCGGGTTACAAACGCTTCAGGTTACAGACTCCTCTAACCCGGAAGTAGTACCTTGGGTTAAGAACTTTACTTCAGGATAAGAACAGAAGTCGCACGGAAGCGGCGGGAGGTCCCATTAGCTAAAGGGGTACCTCACGTTAAGAACAGTTTCAGGTTAAGAATGGACCTCCGGAACGAATTAAGTTCTTAACCAGAGGTCCCACTGTATTCATAGAATTGCAGAGTTGGAAGTAATCACAAGGGTCATCTAGTCCAACCCCCTGCCATGCAGGAATGTTTTGCCCAACTTGGGGCTTGAACCCACAACCTTGAGATTAAGAGTCGCATGCACTATTGACTGAGCTGTATTCAGTCTATAATGTCCCAGGGTAAATGCTTAAGGAAATGCACATTAAGAGGAAAATTAATTAATCATGGGAGAGAAGACACATTCTTTGATGTAGTTGGGCCCCAGAAATATTTGTCTTTCAAATAGCTTCTGTGAACAGGCATGTTCATGAGTATAGTGTTTTGCTTGTGGCGAATGAGTACTGAGGGGTTTTTTATATTTATTTATTACATTTATATACCACCTTTTCCTCAACGGAGCTCAAGGTGGTGTATATGGTTTTCTGTTCCTCATATCCTCACAACAACCCTGTGTTACATGACTTCAGAACACAAGAACTAAAGCTGGGTGGACAATATCTTCCCAGTTGTTAACACTGGATCATGGTAATGTGGTGACTTTTCTGTTAGCGACATATACTGTCAATTCATATACTGTATGTACCTAAAACCTTATTGTTTGAGTCCTGGTTGAACAATTCAAGCTGGAAAAGTCACCTTCCCAAGGAATGAATAAAACTTCTGAATGTATATGAATAGTAATTACTGACTTAGACATATTACCTATATGTAGATTTGTGTCATCATGTTGTGAGTCCCCTCTCCAGGCTACCATTCTGCATTCCCAGCTCCCGTAGGAGAAACCGTAGTATCGCATATGATGGTGGGTGCTAGTCCATTATAGTAAGTAGTAGAAGCAGATGTCACAAATGAGATGGGGGATGACTTAGTCTTAACATAAAACATCTGTGTGCGTGCTCTACTTTGCGCCCACTTCTCAGGCCTTATGCAGACATTCCTACATTAGGGGAATGTGCATATCATTATAATGTTGGCTGATTCTCTCTCCCCCCCCCCGCCTTACATGTGCATGACACATGTGCATAGTGACCCCCCCCTCACAGCATGTTTAGGCTTCACTTATATGTGATTAGAGCCTACGTGCATTGGCATCTACATACAAATGTAAATATACACACATGCTTTCCAGTGCACAGAAGTCAGGTGTGCTGGTGGAGGCAGAGCCAGCTGCTATGAGCTTGATAGCACTACTATCAAAAACATATGCATAAGCTACTCATTGCATTTAGGCACGCACCTAAAATGTTTCAAGTACAACTTTAGTGTGCATACATGTTCGCATGTATCACACATATGATGATGATACAGCCACAAACATCAGGAAGTTGTGATTCGCAGTACAGCTTTACCTCTGATCAAAGTATAAAATTACCTTTATTGTGCAGCAGTAAAAAAATTTGCTCCAAAAACACGCACTATTTTTTCTCAAGGAGACTTGCTAGTTTGCTGGGATGCTGAAATGTGAGAGACCCTGCTACAGAATGTGCCTGTGTAAAGAAACCGAGCCAATATCATGGTGGGCACACAGAAAAAAAGTGCAAGGCTTTCAGCCTAAGTTTCAAGAGCTTGTTTTTCTGACAGAGGTGGGTGGAAATTTAGGCTGCCAGACTCAAGTAAAAGGGTTCCTAAAAGGAGGAGGAAAGGAAACCTTAAAGAGGGCATTCCTGAAATCCTTGCGGGAAGCTGGGTTGGCTTAAACATTAACCCTGTTGAGTGGCGAGTGTGTTAAGTGCGTGTCTGCGTGGTGCGACTGGAGAACTTGGGCCAGTCGGCCAGAACCTTCAGCGAGGCTGCTCTTTCAACAGGCGATTTGTTCGCCTGTCTGGGGCTCATTGCCATGCGAAGGGGCTGACATCAGAGCACCTTTTGTTGCTAAAAGCTCTTTTCTCTGGAGAGAGACAGAGAGAGCAGTCATGTGGAGATGGGAGAGCCCATGTAGAGGGAAAGGGGGGAGGCAGAGAATTAGAGTTACCTACGAACTGAAAACTCAGCGCTGGCTCCTGATTTGAGGAGGGGGAACCTTACCGAAAGACTTCCTTTGGTGCCAGATGTATTTTGGGCCTGTGGGAAGCGATTCCCTCTCCCCAAAGAGGCGACCGCGACTCTCTGGAGCACCCCTGCGCGAGGGAAAGGTGGTCACGGCCAGCTTTGCTTTGCCACCCTGTTGCTCACCGCTCCAAGCAGGCAAAGTTTGTGCGGGGCATGGCAGTTTCTAGACGTGCCAAGAGTTGAGCCCGGGAAGGAGCTGCAGGAGGGAAGCGTCGGCCGCCTCCTCTGCTCTCTTCTGGGGCTGGAGCCTGGCGGGAAGGCGAAGGCAGAGGCGGCATGATGGAGTAGCCGGGCGGCGGCGGCGGGTCTGGCTTGAGCGCAGGGCTTGAGCCGGCGGCGGGGCGTGAGGCGGGCAGCGTCGCCCTTGGCTAGAGTCTCGGTCCGGTGGGGAGCGCGCCTTGAGCTTTGCTTTCCGAGGAGGCGACTATGGAGGAGGAACAAGCCGCCGGCGCCGAACCCCAGGAAGACAGCAGCATGCCCGAGAGTTTCTCCAGACTCTGGACGGATGTCATGGGGATACTGGTGAGTGACTGGTTTGGGTGGATTGGGAGAAGTGGAGAGGGGGCTCGAAAGCTACCCAGCCTTGGCTGTGAGGCTGGTGGCTTTGACATCTCCTGAAAGTCATTCTTGGGGCGACTCAGTGCAAAAGTTCCTCTTTTGCGGAGCAAAACTTAAGAAAGGAATCCACGGGTTGTTTACGGAGAAGGATCCAATGGGGTTTCTTGAGCCTGTGCTAAGTCGTGAGCCCTTTACGACCCAAATTGCCTCCCCCTCCCTTTGAATAGCACCTGTTGTAAAAAGTTAGTCAGATGAAATCAACATTACATTACAAGCATCTGCTTTACTATTCTGCTCCCTGTTGGTTTGCTTGTCCCGGCTATTCTTTAGGCTTAGGTCTCCATTTGTTGGAAGAATTGAATGTTGAGGTGGTGCTGTTTTTGGCTTTTTGGACGATCACTTTCATCTCAGCCTAATCATGGTTTCTGAATATGATTATGAGCAATGTGCCTGCTTATAATCAGTCAGGTATCCTTGGGGATTTAATTTCAGTGGTAAAAGTGTAATTTCCACCAGTGAATTTTGCATACCTATCAAATAGATACTGTATTGCATGATTGAACCTCCTTTTCCAAGCTGATGTGTAAATTCTGCTACTTTTTTCTCTGCCTCTTAATGTATGATGTATTGAGGAGAACCTGTGGTTTGTTAAACTTGTGCAGTTTCAACTTTGCCTGAACCAATATTTTTAACTGTGACTTTGGATTTCACACACTTATTTTTAAGAGAGAGAACTGTAGAGTGATTTATCAGGTCTTCTATGGTGTATGCATGCAGAGAATTAAATATTTCTAATACTCCTTTCATGTTGCTGATTCTCTTCCTCCCTCCCCTGAGGTTCAATAATTCAATAGCTACGGCGGATCAAAAATGTTCAGCTACACCATACATGCCCTGAATTTAATTAGTTCAACTACTTTAACCACACCAGTTGCGGAATGGGGCTAGACCTGACTAATGGAAAACTTAACTCTTTCAGTATTTTTAAAGTGTTTATTGGCAGACAAGCAAAAGGAGAGTAGAACTGTTGTGATCGAAACTGTTTACTGACAGTTAACTGTAAGAAAAATAATAAGAAAAAGAACAATAATTGGATTGCCTCCCCCCCCCCCCCCGTGTTTCAAACTGTTAGAGTAGTATTTAGCCTTGTGACCTCAGGCTAATTAAATTATATGCATTCCTAGGTATTACTATTTATTGCTTATAACCCCCTTGTCCTCAAAAGGAAGAGTGGTTAACAATAGACATAAAATAAAACAATAAAAATAGTGTAAACAACACATTAAAAATGAATTAAGCAGTATGATACAATTATCACAATCCAAAGCAGTCAACAGCACAATAAAATATATCAACAGAACCACCCTTCTCATGCTCTGAAGGCTAATAAAAATAAGTTGATGCTCAAATGGGTATAGCAATCTGAATATGCACTAGAAGAGAGTTCCACAAGTGAGTTGCTGCTGCTGAGGGCTTACTGAACGAAGGCATTACTAGCAGAGCCTCTCCAGCGCATCTTAAAAGCCCACATTGGGTAGTACTGAGTGAGATACTTCCTCAAGCTCGGAGGCCCTGAATCATTTAGATTTATATTCAAGTACTGTACCAATACCTGGAATTGTGCCCAATAGCTTACAGAACAGCCAGTGCAGTGCAGTGCAGCACCTGCAAGATTGGTGTTAGGGAATTCCACTTTGCTGCCTCAGATAGGAAATGGGCAGCAATATTATGTGCCAACCGCATCTTCAGTACTTTCTTCAAGGACAACCCCACTTACAGCAAAATACAGGAATCCAATTTTGAGGTTATCAGAGCATGGACCAGTCACCACTGGTCCACTGGCTTTGGGCTCTCATATTTCAGTGGTGCGCTGTGCAACGCTAAAATTAAGTGGTCCCCCTCCTGCCTGCTCAGTTCTACAGCATTGTTTTGGTGCCCCCTGCAGGGTGGTGCCCAGTGCGACCACACTGGACACGCTACCTTAAAACCGCCTCTGCCTAGACCTCTGTAACCAAGTTATCTAACAGTGTATCTTGGGCATCAGTTGAAGCTAGGCGTTAGTTAGCACTGCTTGCCACTGTGGCCGCCTGAGCATCCAGTGTTGTATCCAGGAGAACTCCCAAACTATCCCCACATGATTGTCTGAAGATTTGGGAAGAATGAATCTGTTCTGCTGAAAAGTTTTAGGTAGAATAAATAGCTCCAGAAAATGTCACAGGTTTTACAGAAGTGAGAGTTTCTGTTCTATGTATCTGAACTTGATTTGCCTTTATTTCAATTTACAGTTATCATAGATTTCAAAGGTTGTTGTTGTTATTAGTAGTTGTTTTTTGTAAAACTGTGTGTGCTACATACAGTAATCTCAACAAGCAAGTAACTCAGAATTATCTCCTTTATGCTCAGTATCAACCTTTGTTACAAAGTTCATACCCACAATAGGCCTCCATTTCCATCTCTCCCCCCCACAAATGTATTAATATTACGTATTTATTATTTTTATACCCCACCTTTCTTCATCAGTGGAACTGAAAGTGGTGTACATGGGATTCTCAGGTGAT